ACGGTTCCCTTGAAGAGCTGCGTTTCCGGGCGAGAGGGGACAAGCAAAGGGAGGGCTGGGAAGGTTCAGGGTTAGTGTTTGCTTGAGGGTCTTTTTGGCCCCCCCCCCCTCCCCTCCGGCCCCCGTACTCAAAAATATGTTCCAACGGGGGTGGATGCTTCGAGGTTGACAATCCGGAATGTGTTTTGTGTTTTTTTGTTATCTCGAGGTCGCGGATTGCTTTTACGTAGAAGCCTGAATGATACCACTGCTTTTGTCAAGATTGCTCCTCAAATTCAGTTAAATGATAGTATACTCCAAAGCTTTTTTCTGTTTTCAATCCGGGCTATTAGGCTTTCCGGATCCACTGCCCAGGTTTCGTGAAGAACGGCCAAGACATTACTTCGATACGTGTAGAGGACGGCATGCAAGGGGAGGGGGGGGCGCGGGAGGCTTAAAACACAACAACCAGCAGCCCTGATCCCTTAACCCCTAAACCCTAAACCTAATCCCTTAGCCCCTAAACCCTAAACCCTAAACCTAATCCCTTAGCCCCTAAACCCTAAACCCTAAACCCCAACCTCTAAAGCCTCAACCCTTTAACCCCGTAAGGCTCCTGAGAGGGTCATGGGCTTTCGGGGGGAGGGTTTGGGCTTTGAGGGCTACGGTTGATGGTATAAATCCTGCATTACCCATAATAAGGAATATACCATAAATCCCATAGTTTAGGGTCCTTAAGGTAATGCAGGATTTATATCATCAACCGTAGGGTTTGGTATTTCACTACAACCGTCCAGCCCTGAAGGTGAGCAGAAGTTTGGAGGGCTAAAGCACGGAGAGGGAGGAAGTGCCATGAACCAGAAGCATTTCTGCCCTAGATTCCCTTAAATCCCTTCAAACCCCTAAACCCTAAAACCCAATGACAAACCCCTACCTGCTAAATCCTTGCATAAACCCTAAGCACTGCCGCGGCAATAGGTTCGACCTAAGTCCCAAAGCCTACTGTAGGGGAGTTTCCAAAAATCAGGGGTACCTTAGGGTTCCTTTAAGTGTTACTATAAGGTACGATACGGGTTCCTTTAAAGGGCTTATAAGAGTTTAGGGGGCCTAAGCATTTCACCAACCAAGAGTGTCCATATATACGACCATTATGGAACTACGCCCGGAAAGAACATCCTTACTAAGGTTTGGAGGGGCTTAATTAAATTAATAATTCCATAATGGTCATATATATATATATATATATATATATCAAGACCCTCTGGGCAATGCTATTATGGTTGTTCCTTAATTTGCTTTCAACACACTACGGTATGCCACCAAGCCCTGTTCCATCCAAGTGTTTAGGCCCCTATATCATAAAAACTGTATAGTGTCCCTTATAGACCCTTTACTTACAGGAACCCTTATTAAGGCCCCTATATCAAGACCCTGATGCGACCAGCACATGATGTTGTGTCAGCACACTGATGCCGCATCAAAATCTACTTCAGGGTTTAGGCTTTTAGGGGGTTTAGTAAATCAGGGTTTAGGGTTTAGGCTTTTCGGGGGGGTTAAGTAAGGGTTGGTTTAGGGTTTCGGGTGACTCTTTCCAGTTTCATGTCGTTGTGTTCAGGTATTTTGCTTGCTGCAGCGGCATATGTTGTGGGCTCAGTAGCTACAGGCTGCAGTTTCGACCGCAAACGCAGTGCAAAAACACAAAGACATTCAGTTGATCTCATCTTCCCCGCGGGTCCACGTATCCATCTAGTGTATACTTCAAAGTAGTCTCTAGATAGACACTTTAAGGCCAAAGTGTAAACTATATGGGTACATGGACCCCCCGGGTTCCCAAACCTTAAACCCTAACCCCCCCCTTTTTATCATCAAAAAAATGAAACCCTAAACCCTTATTCCTCAAAAAAGGAAAAGAAACCCTAAACCCCTTTGGAACCACGGGGAGTAAACTTGACGAGGCCTTCCACGCTGACCTGAAGTCCCTACAACCCCCCCAAACCCTAGGGGCCTTAATAATTCCCATACTTTTTTGGGGGCTCCTTATTATGATTATGGTATAGTATAACTGCCCCAAAACCCTAGTGTAATTATACTATCCCCTACTACAGGGGCTTTAATGATTACCTATACTATTTTGGGGGTATCCTTTGATTTGTATAATTATGGTATGATTTAGCACCAAACCCCAAAACCCTATTCTAATTCCTATTTAAGGCCCCTATATTAGGCCGTAAAGCGTGGAATGGATTGCCCAGGCCCTCGAATGACTCGAATGTAGTACATTTCTGTAGGGCTCCAGTGAACCATGCATTTTATACCCCAGTAGCTTACTACTTAGGTAACTGGAGCCCTAGGGATTTTTGATTTGGGCCTATCTTATGCGTAGGTCCTGCGACAGGCAACTAAGCTAACCAAACCAAGGTGCTACAGCTTGGAACCCTAAACCCCTAAACCCTGAACCCCTAAACCCCTAAGCCCTTAACCCTTGAATCCTTAAACCCCTCTAAGCCCTAAGCCTCAAACACTCAAACTTATAGGTAGATCCTTAGACGAGCCATACTGCAAGTACCCACTATTAAGGACTCTATTAAAGGGCCCTAGGTACCTGCATCCCCGAAACCTTCAAAATAGTAGGTTATGACCCCATAATTCTTGGGTATAACCCTTAAAACAGTAGGGTTTCGGATCCCCAGGTATTCCCTAAACCCTAAACCCCTGATAGATCCTTGAAAGGATCCTGGTATAGGTAGATCCTTGGAGGAGCTTTTGCAAGCTGGGGATCACCGCCTGACATTTCGCCTCGTCCAGCGTCCCTGGGCTTTCGGACGTAGGATCTCAGGATGTTTGGAAAATTCTAGTCTTTTGGGGTTTAGGTGTTTACGGCTTAGGGTTCAAGGTTTAGGGCTACTATAAGGGCTCTTGAGGGATCTTAAGGGCTCCTTTGAGTTCCTTTAAAGAGATCCATAGCGGTTTAGGGTTCAGGGGTTAGGGGTTTAGGGTGCTTGAATTTTCCTCACCATCGTCCGTTGTTGTCATGCTTGTTATTATGCTCATTAGTCTGGTATGTTCTAAGCCCCAGATCCTAAGCCTTAATTTAGGATCATTAGTGCAATATGCTCTAAGCCCTAGATCTGTCTAAAAGGCTTTTGCTGGCTTGTCCTTTGGGATCTTGTCGAGTTTCCCCTACTATTTTGTAGAGAGCCAAAATTTTTAAATAATTTTCAGTAAATAATTTTCAAAGGGCTTGAAGGACAATCCTGTGGCATCAGAGATTGAAAGCTTGAGGCGGATTGAAGGGTTAGAGGTTGGAGGAAAGGCCTTCTGGGTTGAGGCAACCCTATATACCTTGCTAAGGAGCTATATAAGCAAGTAAGAAACATGTAACTCTAAAAATGCGGATTTCCGATGGCTTTTGGCATGGGCTTAATTTTCCTTGCTAGCTTTTGCAGAATTTACAGAACTTCCCAAATCCTACACCTGTACGGTACCCTTAAAAAAGCCCCAAGCCCTCAAGCCTTAACACTTATGGGTACATGGACCCTTACGGAAACCCTCCTTAGGATAACGCTATAAGGACGGAACAACCCTAAACCCTAATCCCAATACCCTAAACCCTAAGGATTAGAGCAACCTCATTGCAATCAGTTTAGCCTAACCCCCTAAACCCCTAAACCCAAACCCCTAAACCCTGGGACCTTATATTTACATGGACCCCTGAGTGGAACCTCCCCGAAGTACCCTCTACCAAACCTCGAACCTACTCCCTGAACCCTAAACCGAAGGCCCTTAGCGGAACCCCTCAGCCCCCTAAACCCCTAGAGATTTCTTAAAGGAACCCTTAAAGAACCTTTTAAAGGAACCCAATACCCTAAACCCTTAGGGGAACCTCCTTCGGTTGATGATATAAATCCTGCATAACCCATAATAAGGAACATACCATAATTCCCGCATAGTTTAGGGTCCTGAAGGTAATGCAGGATCCATATCATCAACCCCCTAAACCCTGAAACCCCATAGATCCCTTAAAGGAAGCCCTTAAAGGTACCCTTATAGACCCCTTTATAAAGGAACCACAGGATTTATACTAAACCCTAAACCCTAAAACCCTATACATCCCTTAACGGAACCCCTTAAAGGTACCCTTATAGATCCCTTTAAAGGGAACCCTAGGATCAACAGTTGCAATCAGTTTTGCTGTGCGCCAGTGCCGCGCGCAGCCTCGATCTCTCGGAAGGCCGAGCTCGCGCAGAGTCCCTGACTTCTAGGGATCTTAAGGTTTCCTTTAAGGGCTCCTTTAAGGGTTCCTTTAAGGGCTCCTTTAAGAGATCTATAGGGGTTTAGGGGTTAGGGGTTGTATAGGTTAAGGTTTAGGGCTACTAGAAGGGTTCTTTAGGGATCTTAAGAGCTCCTTTAAGAGATCTATAGGAGTTTAGGGTGGAGGCTCCTTTGAAGGGATACTTTGAGGTTCCTTGAAAGGGGTCTATAAAGGTTTTTCATTTTGAGAAGTTTCGGGTTTCTTTAGGCGTTTACCGCAACCCTGAATCCTTCAAAAGGTAGGTTATTCGGGGATACAGCACGGTTATCTATAAGGGTTATCCTCTAAGGAACATAACACAAAGTATTGTAGGATCCATAATATGATTTAAGGTACGACTTTAGGGTGGAGGCCCTTTAAGGGAGCTACTGTAAGGGTTCTTTAGGGATCTTAAGGGTTCCTTTAACAGTTCCTTTACAGAGATCTTTAGTGCTTCAGGGTTTAGGGGTTTAGGGCTCTTAGGGGTTTAGGGCTTAGGCGGTTGTAACATAGGGTGTTCGGATATAGAAAGAAAGCGAAGCCATGCTGCGGATTCGAACCTTACTACCCGAATTGGTACATACTTTACATTTTTTGTGATAATTTCACCTATGCAAAAAAAGGCAAAAAAACATGTTGGGGCTTATGAGAAGGCAACTCAGGAACCGTGTCCGGTGAAAGACTCCTGGACCTTGACGTGGCGAGCTTTCTCCAGACACTCCCTGAAGTCATGCATCCCGTCCAGGCATTGAAGCAGGAATTGCGCAGAATGTGTGGGCTGTCAAGGTTCCGGCAAAGGCTGGTATTCCTGAAAGAGGAGGATGATGCCGGTGATGGTAATGTGGTCTTGGATGACGATTGCACCTTGAAGCCCGGGGAAGTGCAGGTTGTTCTTCTAAACTTCTGCCAAGCATCTGAGGCGCAAGTGACAGCGCTTCGGGATGCTGCGAGACATGGTCTGACACAAGAAGTGGAGAATATTCTACAAAGGCCCCAAGACCCAGATTTAGCCGGTCTCGGTCCAGCCCCGCTGTTTGTGGCAGCCTGGCAAGGCCACCTTGCGGTGGCGCGCCTTCTGCTGGAGGCGAACGCGGACAAGGACAAGGCCACGGATAGTGGCATGACCCCATTGTTGATAGCAGCTAGATATGGACACTTGGAACTTGCACGCCTTTTGCTGGAGTCGAATGCGGACAAAGACAAGGCCACCGATAATGGAGTCACCCCTTTGCACACAACAGCTGAGCTAGGACACTTGGAAGTTGCACGCCTTTTGCTGGAGGCGCATGCAGACAGTGACAGGGCTATGCAGGATGGCGCCACCCCTTTGTGCCTCGCAGCTCAGAAAGGACATTTCGAGGTTGCACGCCTTTTGCTGGAGTCGAATGCGGACGTGGACAAGGCCAGAAACGGAGGCTTCAGCCCTTTGCACGCAGCAGCTCAGCAAGGACACTTGCAGGTTGCACGCCTTTTGCTGGAGGCCAGTGCAGACAAGGACAAGGCCATGCAGGATGGTGCCACCCCATTGCACATTGCGGCCGAGAATGGGGAGCTGGAAGTTGCACGCCTTTTGCTGGAGGCGCATGCAGACAGTGACAGGGCTATGCAGGATGGCGCCACCCCTTTGCAAATTGCAGCGCAAGAGGGGTATTTGGAGTTGGCACGCCTTTTGCAAGGGTCAAACATGCAGAACAGCAAAAGATTAAGGTTGCGGTAATGCGGCTCAGCACTTGGCGTTTGCTAGTCTTTGCTGCAGTGCGACGCGGACAAGGACGAGGTCTTCGATGATGGTGGAGAGAGTTCGTGGTTGCACGTACTCGTCTGCTGGAGGCAAAAACAACTCTGTGCAGGGCCCGTGTTGCTCCAAGAACCTGCACTATATATATATATATATATATATATGTGTGTGTGTGTGTGTATCTAAGTATATATGTATATGTCAAAGATAAGATTATATATAAATATGTATGTATGTATGTACCGTATACAGCAACTCCCCGCACAATTTTGGAGCACCATAGTGTGCTTGTTGAAAGCCACCAACCCCACAATCGAAACCATCTAAACTCCCTTAGCTCTAGGCGGCCATACAACAACCTGTTCAGCGGCCCTCAACCTTTAAACCCCAAGCCTTAAACTTAAACCCCCTCCTCCTTAGGCCCAATATAGGGCTCTGAAGAATATCAGTCTTTCGTAATACCACTTATACTCAGTGTACCCCTTAACCCTGTTCTCGCTGCGGAAGTTCGGCTGACTACGGGCTCCGGGATTTGAGGCCCCGAAAGGACGCACGCACTTTGACGGTTAGGGCTTAGGGTTTAAGATTTAGGGTTTTAGGGTTTAGGGTTTATGGCAAAACTACTAGGGTTTCTTTAGGGGTTTGTTTATGTTGGTGGTTGTCAAAATTAGGGTCCCTTTTTGAGTCCTTAATACGGCACCTAATATCTAGGGCCCAAAAAGGGACCCTAATTTTGAGAACTACCCATGTAGATGTTACACTTCAAGGGTTCCTCTGTTTGTTTTGAATCATAGAGAAGCCGAAAAACTTACCAACGTTGTTCCTCAGGGTTTCTTACTGTATGTATATTATACAGGAGCCCCAATTCCCATTCTAACGATTCTAATCTTTGAGGCCCTTCCATTATTCACCCATAGGCTCGGGTTGTGATCTTCCACAGTCGCTTAACACGGCATATGCATTGCATCATGCTCCTGGTTCTAGGGTAGTTAAAGATGTATATCCCTAAGGGTCCATGTTTTAAGTACTCCCTATATAGGTACATTGGGCCCAAAGTATATAGTATTTGGGTACATGGACCCTTAGGATATACTGGCCTGTGATACCGAAGTGTCGCACTTCCATGAGAGTGTACATGGCCATTGGAAGATCTGTGTCTTGATCCCTTTAAAATTCGAGGATGGCTTTTGAGCGCCAGCTAGTGTCAACAGGTGAGTAGCGCAAGGCCTAACCCCAAAACTCTATTCAGGGTTTAAGTTTAGGGTTGCGGGTTTAGGTTTTTTAAAAATATAGTATATGGCATTATGGAAAGTTTCTCCGGCCTTTTTGGGGGTTGCCGGGCTTTGTTTCGGGACACAGGTCATTATGGAAATTGTTACGAGTGCAAATGTGGTTACGAGTACTGTTACGAGGAGTACTCTTGCTTGTAGTTTGCCTTTGGCTTTGACTTAGAGACGCTTGCTTTCATGACGCCACCAGGGCGCACGCTGGGCTCTGTTGAACATCCGCTACCTCTGCTACACCTCTCCAAAACCCTCGCAACAGACGCGGAAGTAAACACCTCAACCCGTCCCTTAACCCCGAATAGCCTACCTTTTTAAGGACTTTATACAAGGAATTCAAAACAAGGAGCCCTAAACAGGTAGGTTGTTCAGGGTTAAGGTCTACCCTAAGCCACGGGCTTCAAGCCCCCCCACGATTGATTCCGCACAGCTTGAGGAACGGAGCTGCTGTGTGCGCTGAAAATGGCGGACCCGGTTGCGCATGATTTCTTAATCTAGGCGCTTCAATTCAGTTATCAGTACTAGTCATCAGAGGTCCTTAATATGCGTATACGATAATCAAATCCAAAACCGTCCTCTGATTCTTAAGGCCCTCCTCAATAGGCTCTAGAGGTGTGTGAAGGTGGGCTGCCTTGGGTGTGTGGTTTGTGCGATTTCAATATCACCAGCATTCTCATCGTCATCATCATCATCATCATCATCGTCCAGGTGCAGTATTGTTTGCGTGAGAAAATTAGGGCCCCAAAATTCATACAAAAAGCAAAAAAAGGTGTGTTTTCCGGTTTGAGGTGTGCACCTGTGACGTGATTAGGGAACAGAGTTAAGGGGCTCAAGGCTGAACCGTTTAGACTTGCAGCCCCTTTTTGGGGGGCTTTTGGTTTAGGGTTGAGGTTTTGGGATTTCGGCTTGCAGCCTTAAAACCCGAAACCCTAAACCCTGTTTGTGAGGAGCACCTACAGGTAACAGGTTGTTCAGATTCATTCCAAGGCCAAAAGGAGGGACCCTTAATAAGGACTCCTAGGTATATGCCCTTGATATAGCTAGTATATACCCATTATATAGCCCATTATAGGGTAGGGGTCCCCATTGAGGGTCCCTCCTTTTCCCCTCTGATTCATCCATCACCCGTTCATGACCCGTGTGCAGTTCGGACCTCCGTACCAAGAGTGCCGAGAGGCCAAACCTTCTAGTTTTATTTCAGTGATCCTTATATCTCTATATATGTCTATGTATATGTATCACGTCTTTCGGGCGTTGAGTCCATGAGGTCGCAGCCCTAGTGCACCTAATTAAAGTGCTTAGCACGGACCAGTAATCTGACTGTCACCAGTTTGAGGGTTCGGGAATGAGCCAGCGAAGGAAAAGCTGTCCCGCTCCTTCGACAAAATCAAAACGATGGCACATGGACGATGCTTGAAAATGCACGGCAAGCAAATGGTGCTTCGTACTCCGTACTCGGCAGATGAGGCCATCCCCACACGGTTAAGATACCCAGGATGTCTAAACTAAACTAAACACCTTCATCAAGGTGATATTGGGACATCAAACTCAACAGCAGCATGAAAGTAGTAGGACCTCCGCGCTCAAAGATACAGCGCTCTGGCAGCACTCACTTTCTTAGAAGCTGTAAGTCAGGATAGCAGAGTCGGGGTCATCAGATCGAACTCCTCGTCGTCTGGGCATCACCCCTCTCCGAAAGACTTGCAGTAGTTGCCAGGTTGAAAGCCAGCGTCTTCTTGACACGAGCCGCAAACTCTTCTACGGTGAAGTCTGCGAGCGTGTCCTCCAAATCCATGATGTTCAAAACGGCCACCCTGCACAGCGTGTCCTTCGGGCGAAGTGCATGGGCTGCCGGGTTGCCGTTTGGTGATCCAAATGCCCTCGCCTGATGAGCTTCTGTTCTTCTTGATGCCGCGCAGCTGAAAAGCCAGCCTCTTCTTGAAGCCACCCACAAACTCCTCTGCCGTATAGTATGCGAGCATGTCCTCCGAACAGATGCTCAACATGGCCACCTCACAAAGTGTCACCTTTGCCCCCACGATCGCCATCATATAGCTGCCAGCTATCGGTTTGACAATGATCCAGATGATCCCGATGCCCTTGCCCGACGAGCCTGTGGTCTGCTGGGCGACCCCCCTTCCCCGAAGGGCCATGGCGTGGGGTCTTGGGGCTACAGCAATCAGGCGCTGTCGCCTGTGTTCTGAGCCCTACGTATGTGTATGTGAATATATAAACATATATATGTATATATGTATACACATGTGTGTATGTTTTTCTATACATATTAGACACGGGACTATACATATACATATATCAACTCGCACAGGACGTACATTTGTAAGCACTTTATATATACATATATACACACATATATATATATATATATATATATACATGTATATACATATACATATATATATATATATATGTATCTCTCTCTCTTTCTCTTTGATTCAAATCATTCGTTCTTGCTGCTTACAGGTTCTAGGGCATACGGTTTGCAGGACCTCTCCGCAGCATCGGGGCTGATGGCTGGCAGCGTTTGCATCATTGGCGAGCGCAGGGAAAAGGTCTCTGAACGGGGGGTGTTACCCGAGGGTTTAGGGTTTAGGGATTTCGATTTTTAAGTTTTATAGAGTAAAAAGTCAGCCTAAACACCTAAACCCTAAACACTAATAACAGATCCTACTCGTGAAGCCCTGAACCTTCCAACTTGTTCAAACCAAAACACTACACGGTAAAGCCTTGACCCTAAAACCTTGGGACGCCTGAGCTTGTATGTATTTACATTAGGCTTTTTCTTTGGCTGAGGGCTAACTTGAAACAACGGAAGTACACTACGCTGCATTTTGCAACACACTGTCGAAAAAAGTCCTTGCTCACGAACAGTACAACCCTAAACCTTCAGCCTAAACTTCGTAGCTGTCGTTGTTTATGCTGCCCAGGCGCCATTTTTGAAGTGTCGTCCGGAATACTACATGGAGCAAGTTGTTTCAAAGCTTCAAAGGACCAGGGGCCGGGGTGATTCTAGATTTGTACCGTAAACCCGAATACTCGATCCTGGGCCGTAAACGTTAGCAGAGCTGAAGTGTTAGGATTTAAGCTTCAGGGTTTAGGGTTTCTGGTGAATGGGACTGATGGAAACCATATTTGCCGAGCTCGAAGGTGGAGCGTCGGGTTGCGCGTTTTCTTCGTGTTAGTGGTAGAGTAGGTAACATTTTACTTTTGGGTGATTTTAAAACTTTGTACAGTTCCAAAGGCAACGCTGTAGTTCCCGGCAGGTGACTTGACAAATAAGTTTTGCTTCAGGCCGATTAGCCCGGAATTCAACTGGGTCTTACTTAACGAACATTTTTCTATTGTGATATTTAAGCCCAAGGGGTCATCGAACATAGTGTACTTATTTCGGGCCATGCTTTGTTGCGGCCGAAACCCAAAGCTTATTGAACACAGTCTGACTCTAGGGGCATAAATATCTACCTATACTATGTTGGGGGTTCCTTATTTGTAGTTATAGTATAATGGACCCCAAAACCCTATTCTAATTCTTGAGGCTCCTTTATGATTCTACTAGTCTTACCCGGTGCCCTAAAACCTTACTACGTTTTTTTAGGCACCATTATGAAATACAAGTTCATACTTTTTCTCCCTGGCTAATTAAAAGCCCAATAACCTGAAAGAAGGAAACAGCCCGAG